AGCATTTATGACATTTCCCACAGGGATAACAGTCCAAAGTCCAGAGAACAGGATGGAGGTGAAAAACAGAGGCAGAAAGAGCTAAAGCAGACCTTGTTCATGTAATAAGATCAATGAGAAGAACGTGATGTTTCTCTGGCAGCAGATGACTCAAAAACGTGGAGGAAAGAAATGCAGGGGCATAGGTGGTGGTACATGCCTTTAGTGTCAGCACTCAGGAGGCAGAGTTTGAGGCCAGCTTCGTCCACAGAGTTAGTTCCAGGACAGTCAGAACTACACAGTGAAACTTTGTCTCAAATCACCACCCATAACAAAATACATGGACAATTGTGATTCACGAGGAAAATATCATTGTGTTAGGTTCTGGTCTTGTATGATACTGAAGAATGAACTGTGTGAGGCATTAGAACTTGAAGGTAACTGGGAAGTCTCACAGGGCTTTTAGGGTAATTGACTCTTGAGAAGATCCATAGTGCTGGGTATTTTGCTGGGTGTGAAAGTTCAAGAGAAATCTGCAAGTTACTTGCCTGAACCTTGGTGGTTCATTCTGAAGGAGCTTGAAGATATTAAAGGGAAATGCCCACTGTTGGGAGAAGGATAGCAATGCTTCTGAATGGGAAAGATCCAGTCCCATTGATGAGAGAGAATATCTCAGGTGCTCAGTGGGCCTGTCAACAGTAGAGGATTCTGAAAAGCAGTGTTGAGTCTTTCGGGGAGGGGTGTGCTCATGTGCCAGAGGATCAAGGAGGCAGGATTGTTGAGATAAATATTTAAAATCGACCACAGGTCAAACAGACTATCTAAGCTATGATGGGTCTGCCTAGCTCAGCTGCCATCTTTCTCGGCCAGAGGCCACATGCGTGCCGCAGCTAGAAATGGCCAGCCAGAAACACCAGCCCTGCCACCCACGAGACGCCAGTGTGGGAGATGGCTCTGCCAAGGCTGGGTATTGCCCAGACCATCCCACCATCCACAAGGGCCCAGTAGGAAAATGAGACTCTAATGCTTAAATTATCCAAAAGCTTATATATTTGGTAATGATCAGTAACAAGATGCCTATATAATCAGAAGTGTAACTCAATACCCAACCTAGATATACCAACTACAGTGAACATCTGCCTCCATGTTCCTCTCTCTCTCTCTCTCTCTCTCTCTCTCTCTCTCTCTCTCTCTCACACACACACACACACACACACACACACACACATTCCTCTCTCTCCTACCTCCTCCTCTTCCTTCTCCTCCCTACTCCTCCTCTTCCTCTCCTTACTCCTCCCACCTTAGCTCCTCCTACACAGGATGCAGAGTAAGAAGTGTTTTACAGAAGCAATGAGGGAAGGCAGCCAACACTAAGAGACTTGCCAGAGGATGACTGACAGTAAAAGAGGGTGGGCTGAGCCATGTCCTAGGAGAGGAGCACTGAGACATGTTATATCTGTCAGAAAGCATGCATGGAGATGGCGTGCTAATTAAAAAGAAAATCAATGTCAGATTTGTATCTATAATGATTATTTTTGTTTATGTGAATTGTGGAAGAGAAAGAATTTTGGCTGATTTTCTAGGTTTATACTCTAGAGCTTTTGAATATAAGCAGCTTTTTCTTTCTTTTATTTAATTCAAAATAAATATTTGCTCATTCCGTATATTCTGATTCCTGCTTCCCCTCCCTCATCTCCTACGTCCTTTCCACCTCCTCAAGCTTACAACTGCATGCCTTCTTTTTCTCTCTCTTTTTAGAAAACATTCAGGTCAGCAACAGACAAAACAATCAGAATAAAACAAAACAAATAACCAGAGGGACAAATAGAGAAAGAAAAGAAAAAGTATAAGAAGCATGTACACATGCAGAGAAACACAAAAAACTCATAAAAACTCAAAATTAGAAACCACAGTAGGTAAGGGAAAGACAAGTATGGTAAAAAATGCCCTGACAAATCACTAAGAGACAAATACCTCAAAAATACCAGAGTCCATTGTGTTGGCCATCTACTGCTGCTGAGCTTTGGGCTCCCTTAAGTGTGATTTCTATTCTGTATGAGATACCTTTAGTGAGAAACTAACTACTTAGGGAAGTGAATTGTAGTCATGTCCCCTCTCAGCCCAGGGAGGAAACTAGTGTGTCTTCAACCTGTTCAAGCCATATGCATGCTTCCACAATCTAACCTCATATGTGGGGTCCTATTCTGTCTGGAAGGTGCTGTTTTCTTGGTTCCTTTCATTCCTGCTGGCTCTTACAACCTTTCTACCTCCTCTTCCACGTAGCTCCTTGAGCCATGAGCTTAGGGATTGATGAAAACATCCCATTCAGGACTGAGTGTTCCAAGATCTTTTCCTGTCTGCATATTGTCCAGCTGTGGGGCTGTATGTTACTTCCCATCTCCTGCAGAGGGAACTTTCTCTGATGATGCCTGAATAAGGCACTGATCTTGGGTATGGCAGAATGATGTCAGGGGTCATTATATTGTTCTGCTTCTTTAACAGAATAATAATATTTGCTTTCCCCCTAGGTCCATGTCCTATCCAGTCTTAGGTTCTTGGCCACCTAAACCATGTTGTTGGTTACTCCCACAACAATTGTGTCACTATTGCAGTATTGTATCATTCAGACATGCCACCATCATAGAGCCAAGGGTTTGTAGCTGGGTGGTGTTTAACTGTCTCCTCTGGTAGTGTGCAGAGTCCCTGTCAGTACCATGGACAATAGTTAGTATGTATGAATGCTCTAGTTAGGTATCAGCTTGATTTCTCCATGTTTAATGATATATCTAGGCACTGCCTTTAGTTATAGGCTCTTTATATCAGAGTGTGGAGAGCAACCAATAGCTTTGACAATAGCCTGAGTCCTTCCTGGTTTCTATGGGCCCGCTTTGGCCAACCACTCAATTAGATGTAACCCCAGCACTGGAGGTTTTTCTTGTTTAGAAGTTTTGGTGGTAAGAGCATTAGTGCTGATCTCCCTGTTATTTCGTGATTCCATTTAGATTTCTTTCATATCATGTAGGTTTCTTGAGCAGGAGATTTTGGTACCTAATTCATGGATCAGTGGGTTAGGAGAGAATTAACAAAGTCAGGAATGAAAAAAAGTAAAAGCCTAAGTGATACATAAGTGTAAGTCTAATCTTGTGATCACAGATAATTGTGTTCCATAAGAGTGGTGGGTATAGCTTCAGGTTTTTGAGACGTGTGATTCAAGAAGCAGTGTAGTTTAGGACTTAGGAAATTATCAGGCTATGGTTTTGACCTCCTTCCCCTCTTGCCCAAGGAAACAAGATGAAAAAAATTAAAGCAATATAATATCTCTTGTAATATACAGTTCACAAAATGTTTCAAAATGATCATTAATGTATGAACATTCCAATTTAATCAAAGTAAATATGTGGTATTTATGTAGTTTATCTTCTAGTAAATAAATGAGAAAATGAACAAATAGTGGGAAATGTACAAACCTCAACAATTCCACTTCCAGATTTCTACTATTGAATCATCCACATAAGTGTGATCAAGAAAATATATGGGAATATTGACATTGGCATAATTTGTAACAACCAATACAAAGAAGATCTATAACCTTTCAGAGAATTTCCTCATTCCATACTTGCAAAGTAGCAGTTAAGGAAGTTAAGTGGGCACAGAACTGAGCTGGTACAAAACAAAACGTCTACTGGAGAGATGGAAACAGTCTGTGTCTATCTTCTGATCCTCCTACGGGGTTTACAGATGTCTACCTCCAGGCCTGGTTTATGTTGTGCAGGGATCAATCCCAGGCCTTATAACTGTACGACAGTACTCTACCCACTAAGCTGTATTCTTAACTCCATTTTCTATTTCCCTTAATAGTAATTATTTTTACAAAATTCTCCTAGCATGCAAAGTCATTAGTCGTTCCATTATCTCTTTGTAGTCCTTTGAAATAAAACTCCATATACTTGCAATACAGTATCCATAGATACTTAGAACTTCACCAATAAGAAAGGAGCCTGAGCTTCTAATTGTGTCTTTCTCATGGTTAGAGAATTTTGTTGACATTTGTTTGTCTTTGACATATAGAGTTTTTAAAATTTGTACTGATAGCAGCAAATTTTTCTTAGATACATACTTTTTATCTTTTTATAGCCTATCTAGTTTTCACCTGAGTTTTTCTAATCAATATTCTTATTGTACTATAGAATATCTTTACATATTCTAGTTGTTTATCTTTTGGTGGTTATATTTTTTTGACAAATATCTCATCACAGTCTATGTTGCTTCACTTTACTTATGATGTCCTTCAAGATATAGATGTTATAAATTTCATTATAATTGATAGTTACCATCCTCTCCTTTACAGTTTATGCTTACTGGTTTTGTATCAGATATCATGATATCATAAATACATTTCCTACTGTTTCATTTTCAGAGTTGGCAAGCAGCTTTGAATATTTAAGCTGTTTTTTTATTACTTCTTTAAAAAACATAAATTGGGTGTCATTAATCCCGAAGAGATGGTAATTTACCAAGAGCACAGATTTAGAGTTGTGTCTCAGTCATCAATCAGGATTTTACTGTCATTCCATGACAGGCTCATGCTATATATTTGTAAGAAAGATGCATATGGCGTGGTGCTCAGCTCCTTGGGGGATGACTATCATATAGGGTGTACTAGAAAGCTTGGTAGCACCAGAGGCAAGACCATCTTCTTTGCCCATAAAGGATCATTATTCATTTTCTAAAGACCCATAGACTCTTATGTGTGTGTATGTGTGTGTGTGTGTGTGTTTGTGTGTGTAACAATTTTACAGAAAAAAATGAGAACATAGAATCAACCTTAAATCTTTTAAAATGTTTCGATATTATTTCCTTTCCCTGATTTCATGACAAAGGTAAAAATTTGTGAAACTACACAGGCATCTTTCGTATAGTTTAGCAACCAGAATAATTCATCACAGATATTGCTTGCTGATATACTTTAGATTTATAGCATGGTAAACAACCTGTTCCTAAAGATTGGTTTCTGTTTGCAGAGACGCAATGGAGAAGACATACCCGTAGCCCAGACTAAGAACATCAATCACAGAAGATTTGCTGCCTCTTTCAGATTGCAAGAAGTGACAAAAACTGACCAAGATTTGTACCGCTGTGTAACTCAGTCAGAACGAGGTTCTGGGGTTTCCAATTTTGCTCAACTTATTGTGAGAGGTAACACCTTTTGCTCCATGAAATTGCATGCCTTTCTCTAGACTAAGTCTGTAGACACAGTGGTTGGTTTTTAAGCCACAGTATTCTTCACTGCCAGTCATTTTTACATATCATGATCAAAATTCTGACACTGTCATGTAAAGTGGACACTAGTTTTAAATTTTGTCAATTAGTTTTTCAACCAGTGCCTTATCAAATGATATTATATTTCACCATGGTTATTGAGGTGAAATGCACAGTATTTTCTTCCATGGCTCCTCATGGTTGTCATCTAACATAAGAGCTGGTCTCTCCTATTAACGCAACTCTGTAGGCACTAATATAGGTCCTTATTCCAAGAAACATTTCAACAACAAGGTCACAGTAAATACTCCATTTCACCTAGATGTGTAACCATTATCAATATTAACCATATGCCCTAAAGGTTCACTAATTCTGGTCCTTTGTCAAATCTTAGGAAGATAGAATGAATTTTTCCTAATATTCTTAGAAGCTAAAGTTATTAGAAATTAGAGAGTTTAGGATACTAAGTGTCTCTGTTGTGAATGCAAGAAGAATATAGGCAAGATCAGAGTATATATATTACCTTTATTAAAAATTTACAAGTTCTTATTTTATCTCAGTCAGTGATTTAGGTTGCAGGAATGTAGAGAGAATACAGGGATTCTTTCAGTATGGTCCCTGACAGTGGCTACCTTAAAGTCTTACATCAGCATATATAGCATTGTGGTATATAGTTGCTCTTTTAATGAAGTGGTTTTATAGTGTCTTTGAGGAGGTGATAATTAAGCTGAAATGGGGAGAGAGAGAAAGAATGAATTTTAATTTTATGAAAATTTAGAAGCAAAGTAGCTTCATGGAATCGGATATCAGAGAGTCAATACTGACACATTGTAGCAGGGGAGTCCTCTGTGAAGGAGTCTTCTCTGAGTGAGGGAAATGCAGGATGAGAGAAAAATTCTAAAGACTCATACAAATAGGGGAAGATATTGAGTGAGAGATACATACAGGGACCTGGAGAGAACACATGGCTAAGGGAACAAGAAATACCAGAAATAGTAAGAGGCAGAAATCACAGTATGACCCAGGGGCTGAAAAGAAACATGAGATATTTTTATCTCCTATTGATTTATTTTATAATTCTTGATACTGAATAATTGTCAGAAACACTGTCTAACTATGTACCTATTTCTCATAGATTACCCTTTTATAATTATAGAGAGAAGGAATTAAAATTTAGTTTAGTTATATACTGGAGCAGAGGAATGGATACAAAAAATGTGGTACATTTACACAACGGAGTATTACTCAGCTATTAAAAACAATGAATTTGTGAAATTCTTAGGTAAATGGATGGAACTAGAAAATATCATCATGAGTGAGCTAACCCAATAAGAAAAGAACACACATGGTATTCACTCACTGATAATTAGATATTAGTCCAGAAGCTCACAATACCCAAGATTCAACTCAAAGACCACATCAAGGTCATGAAGAAGGAAGACCAAGTGTGGGTGCTATACTCTATGGAGTCAGAGTACATGCCCGCATTCCTCTCTCTTCATCATGATTTCATTTTTTCCTGTGTCAGGTTTCTCTGGAATTCACATTGTTAACTAACCTCTTCATTTTCTATATCTTTCAGAAAGATTCAGTATTTCATTAAAAATAAAACAAAAGTTGATCGATGTAGGATGAATACACTTTTATCATCAACCCAACATGACTTGTAGCTAGACTATCTCATATCACCTGTGCAAGTTCATAAACTTATAGACCCTGTTATTAAGGAGCAAGAAAATATGATACTATTATACAGCCTGCCTCGGAGAAAGAATATGCTATCTGTTCCCGTTGATGAGTTCTTTCTCATTTTTGTTGACCACCTTTCAGCCCCTCGGTGGACTGATTCTTCAATCCGTGTTGAGCCCCATTTTTGTCTCTTGTTTGAGTCTAACTCTGAAGGCACAGTTGCGGTTGGGCATTCTTTAGGTATTTCACATGCTGTATTTGCAGGAACGTATGTCTGTTATTGATGCACCGTCTCTGCACTTCAAAGTCGTGCCTGCAATATGTGTTCTCTCTCTCTCTCTCTCTCTCTCTCTCTCTCTCTCTCTCTCTCTCTCTCTCTCTCTCTCTCTCTCTCTCTCCTTAAGAAGCGGCTCATACTGGATATACCTGATATTTGTATAAGGCACATGATAGTTTTATTCATGTCCTATATACAAAGAAGCCATACCATTTAATGGAAACTTTTGCCTATTTATTGAAAACTTTCAGTTGTTTGTGATTACATTTTCCCTACTTGTAGTATTCTTTTTTCATGTTTTTGGCTTTTTGGTAGTGCTAGATATCAAACCGAAGGTGTAGTGCATGATTTTCAAGCATCTAAGGACTGAGTTATACCACTGTTCACTGTTGCTTAATTTACCAGTGTATTTCTACCATTTTTCCCAAGGACTAGTTTTTCTTAGTTGATGTCAAATACGCTGTTTTAATATCATTTAAAAACAATTTGGAATTCCACACAATATTTCATTTTTTTTCATAAAACGAACTTTTACTTATTACCTAATTTATTTTAGATTTTGTGTTAGGAATCTGTTAAAGTATCATAGGACTTTGCATGTGTTAGCTAGAGGTTTGCTAAAATTATCAATTTCTATTGTGATACTTTTGACAGTTTTAATTATTGTCAACATATTTTGGGATCTGCCTCTAATAATTGCCAGTGATATTCTTCTTATCATTTTATCTAGAACCAATATAGGGGAGTATATTTTCTTATTTGTCCAGATAACCTCAATATAAATTTTGTGAACCAAATCATCTCCCTAAGGATCAGTTGTTTTGATCTCTAACTGGAACTGTCCTGTCCACCTGGGTGTCAGTTGACCTGGTGCTGAAACAATGGGTAAAATTAGCATGGGTGACAGGTCCTGTCTCTCAGTGGCACATTTAAAACTGATGTCCTGCCACATGGACACAAAAGATGGTAATTTTAAAGGAAATTTTGGGGGCAGTGATATGAGTAGTCTTTAATGAGAGTTGGCATAGTGTTGCCTGTTGTCAAACATGACCCATGGGTAAGAGTTTATTAGTGCATTTTCTCTTAAACTGGAAGTGACAGGCCACGCTTACGGCCTTTTTTTTTTCTCCGTTGTTTGCTATGAGTGAAATTTTTACTGCAAAATCCTCCTGCTGTGGAGTATTGATCTCTGTGTTCCCAGAGCCGTGGGAATGGCAGAACAGTGGATAGAATTTACTTTGTCATAACTCTGGCACCGCATCCGGATCCTTTTGAGTCACGATAATATGTGCAGCTCATGGAAGTCCATCTGAGACTAAGAAGAGACATTTTTGTTCAGCTACACACGACAAGTTTGAGGAGTGCTGCCTGTGGAGAATGTGCAGGAGCGGTGCTTAGCAGCCCACAGCCAAAGCATCGTGGAAGACTCCACGTGGTGGTGGCTTTGCTCCTCCGCTGTCTCATCTGTCAACTTTTTCTCGGTCATCTAAATTACAGATCAGTTTCCATCTGTCCAAAAAACACCGACTTCCTACTTAGTGAAAATTCTTTCACATTTCGCATTTCAAATTTTTATGATACGTGTCTACATTTTACTTTTTTGTTTCTTGGCCTGGTATTATTTTGGGAAAGAGCCTCATGTAGCTCAGGCTGTTCTTGAACTCCTTCTTCGTTCTCCAGTCCCCAAATCCTAAGTGATGGGTTACAGACATTCACTGTCACACTTGGTACATTTTAGCTTTAAAATTTATTTTAATCACAATTCCTCTTAGTCTGTTCTAAAGTTGTCAGTGGTTTGGTTTTTTAAATTTTATAGTCTATTATGAGCTATTGTAACATGCTCTGGAAATGAAACATATTCAGTTAATATATATATTCTCAGGGAACAAGTCAACTGTAGCTATGATTAGGGAGATTCTTAATCTTATCTACCCAGAGTCATTAAATATTTGCATTCCACTTATCTATTGTTGGCATTTGAAGTTGTGTGCTTGATAATGGTACCCAGTGTGAAGCCCATGACACAGTTATTGATGACACAGTTACCGGCACTTTTGACTATAGGATGGGGAAGAAGTCTTCCAGGTTATTTGTTGTAGTCACTAACGATTTAGGCTCTTCAGTGTTTTTAATGTGATGTCAGTGACTTGGGATTGCATCACAAGACCACCTTACCTCCATGTCAAATGACCCTCGCTTCCCCTCATGATCAAATGCTCTCTGGTCCCACCCACTGGGAATAAAAGTGGAACATTGCAGAAGAGGCTTGAATAAAACAAAGACTGTTAAAATGAAAAGGCCACAGTAAGAGGGCTTTGCATCCAATTTTTAAAAGTTAATAAAGTAAGTTTAGCCATTTGGAAAGATGGTACAGCGGTTAACAAAAACTTATTGCTCTTGTAGAGGACCTGGGTCTAATTCCTGTATCCACATGGTGTCTCCCAGTCATTTGGTCCCGACAATCCATGCTCTCACAATCATCAAATCCCCAGGAGATCTCATGCTCTCTCTAGTGATCTCTGTAGGCACTAGTCACACCAGTTGTGTACAGACATACATGGAGGCAAAACAATAATGCATCTAAAATCAATCTAAATACATATACAATAAATAAATCTAAAAAAAAAATATAAAGGAAATCTTAGTGGGAGTCATTTAAGATGGATGTCGGAAACCATTCGTACTGTTTAGTGGACCAGGAAAGAACTTTCATCTGCAGGGCTCCAGAGCATAAGCAGTGTATCCAGAGGCCTTTATTCATTCCATTCAGAGAGACAGTAACTGAGGCAGCATTCCCACGGAAAGTAGCATATGACCTCCAAGAATTTATGGAATTGGGAATACGGCAGTGTTGGAGAAGGAGCTGCCATACTAGCTGAGCTGCAGTGGATCTCAGGTCACCAGTGGAGCCAGAGCTCATTGTCTGTGTTGAGAGATTTTTCTACTACCATTTCATGCTAACGCAGAGTTA